GGGTTGGTGGCGGGGCAGGGGGGGGCGGGGAGCGGTCAGAGCCCATGGATACGTGCAGTCACCACCTCTCCCTCAGTTTCTCTCTTTGCACTGGGAGCTGGGAGTCCAACATGTGGCACTTATATCTACCACTTACATAGGGCCAGACAGGTTTCCTGAGAGAAAATTGATGGCAGGGCCCTGACAACCCATCACCCCCTGTGATGTTCATAAACATAAAATGTTGTCCCGGCGGCAGCATGACCCTGCCCGAGCCGGGTGATGGAGAAGGCGAGAGGGGAAGCTAGACCTATGAGCTCAGGTCGATATGGCAACCGTGGACTTGTGGGTGAGCCTTGGAGACCCACCCCCGCCCGCCCGCCACTGATCCCAACACACTGGAGGAGCCCACGAGCCTCTTCTGTCTCTCCATGGGGACCCATCCTGGTCTATGAGTCACAGAGGACTCAGCAGGGTCCGTAGGGGTGGGCTCAGGTCCAGCGCTTCAGACCAGGCCGCTCTGCAGGAGGGTCCACACTGTAGGCCAAGCAGTCAGGCCCAGCAGGCACAGGAGGGACAGAGGTCAGGGTCAGGGTCAGGGCTCAGGTGCTGAGGCATTCGAGGGCCCACTCCCGCAGCAAGTGGTATCGAGTTGGGGAACGCTGAGCTTAGTTGTGGAAATCACTGAAATTCCTGCCATCAAAGGAGGCTGGGGGACGTTATTTGGCCATAAATGTGACCTATTTTTCCTCCCAGTCTGGAAAAACCTGAGACATACTTGTCATATGTGCATGTATGAAGCTAGCACAATTAAGTGGAAAATGACTTGTTTAATCGGATTTGCCAAATAAATCGATTCCTGGGATGCTGCGTGACCTGGTCTTGGGGGGCACTTACTGGCTCCAGTGTAGAGCCGGTCCCTGGTGGCCCCTTGCCTGGTGACCCAACAATCTTGGCCGGAGGGACCAAGAAGGGCCCAGGCGGAAGCAGCCACATGGACGCCGAGTGTGAGCAGACACAGGAGCGGAGCCGGGGCCTGCCCGAGTGGCCAGGAGCCGGACCCTGCAGAGTCTGGCTCAGTGCATGTCCCCGCATCTGCTCGGGGACTTGGTTCTCCGCGATAGCAGCTGCACCCTCTCCCTCCATCTTGTCCGACCACCACCATGATACTGGAGCTGCTTCCCAAGGCCCTGGCTCCTTTTACAGACATCGTGAGGCCCAGCAGAGGAGACCTGCTGACCACCAAGGGGCCGAAGACCCAGGGCCAGTACTCCAGAGGTCTTTGCTGTGACCCGTCCCTTCACTAACTGCCTGCGGAGCGAGTCTGACTCTCCCGGGTTAAATCTGAGTTTTCCTTTATGGCTCCACACATGTGGACCCTGCTCACCTATCCAGAGCTCCTGGAGAATGTGAACTCCTGGGTGCTGGCCCCGGGGCCACCTCTTTCTCCTAAATTCCCCACAGTCTCAACTACAGCCCAGTTCTGGCCTGGGTACCGAGGGCTAGCTGGGGACATCCTTGTTCCTTGACAATTGCTATATGTGCCCCCCACCCCCCGCTGCAAATCCATATGTTGAAGCCCTAACCCCCAGTATGATGGTATTTGGATGGGGCCTTTGGGAGATACTCAGTTTTATTTATTTATTTAAATGTTTGTTTTTGAGAGAGAGAGAGCATGCGTGAGTGAGCGGGGGAAGGGCGGAGAGAAAGAGGGGGACAGAGGATCCGAAGCAGGGTCTGTGCTGACAGCATTGAGCCCGATGTGGGGCTTGAACTCATGAATTGTGAGATCATGACCTGAGCCCAAGTCGGACGCTCAACTGACTGAGCCACCTGGGTGCCCTGGGAGATACTTAGTTTTAGATGGCTTCCTGAGGTTGGCGCCCTCATAATGGGATCAGTGCCCTGACGTGAAGAGCCACCAGAGTGCTTTCTCCCTCTCCACCTGCATGCCCTGAGGAAAGGCCATGTGAGGACACAGGGAGAAAGAAGGCAGCCATTTGCAACCCAAGCAGAGAGCCCTCAGTGGACATCAACCCCGCTGGCACCTCGACCCTGGACTTCCCGGCTCCAGAACAGTGAGAAATAAATTCCTGTTGTCAGAGTCGATGGTGTGTTGTTAAGACAGCCCAGGAATGGGGCGCCTGGGTGGCGCAGTCGGTTAAGCGTCCGACTTCAGCCAGGTCACGATCTCGCGGTCCGTGAGTTCGAGCCCCGCGTCGGGCTCTGGGCTGATGGCTCAGAGCCTGGAGCCTGTTTCTGATTCTGTGTCTCCCTCTCTCTGCCCCTCCCCCGTTCATGCTCTGTCTCTCTCTGTCCCAAAAATAAATAAACGTTGGAAAAAAAAAAAATTAAAAAAAAAAAAAGACAGCCCAGGAAGACCGATACAACAGCCATTTCCTGCTGACCCAGCGGCTACCTCATATCTGGGCCACGTCCCCTCGGGGGACAAGGGCTGACCTTCCTTGGGGATATCGGCCCCCGTGGAGCATTTGGCAGGCACAGTGCTGGTCCATGGGCTGCACAGTCCTCTTGACTCTCTCTCCGGGGACCCTGTGAAGCTGAAAGT